CACTGACCGTAATTGTCAACACTACCAAGCTCTTCGAGTTGTGCAATTGGCAATACGACTGGGTACGGGCAATGAGTGGTTCAAAAGGGAAGGAATAACTCATTCCTCTTTGAAAGATAACAGAATGCCGATAAATAGATCGAAAGTAACACCGAAAAGTTTGAGTAAAATCAAAAGGTGACAGTATCCACTGAATTCCACGGAAATTATTCCACAGTTATACGGTTGGAAAACCGGTGGAAGAGTAGATTCATACGGCATTCGTAAGAACACCTTTGTATATGTAAAACAGATTCCTCAAATAGAACCGAGCATAACCTTAATTGTCACCTAGTAATTCTAAATGTGAAAGGATGTATGGCTTGGAGCTTTTGGTAGGCTCTTACTTTTTAGTTTCTCACCTCGTTACACTCTCGTTATCAGGGGGTGTAGTCTAATAGCGGAACCTTTTTTCATTCACATCCATCAAAGATCTGCTTTTATAATCGCTCAATGAGGTCAGTTTTGAATCTGCTTCTGGACCACCCAATTAGGAATCGCTTGCTTATAGGGGGCAGTGAAAAGTCTCATATGGATGGAAAATTCCATGACGGAACATTTGCGCTTTCTCACCTCGAGTGACTTGGCCCTTGGGAAATTTTGTTGTTATAGATACATAGGAGGGTAAGAATAAGAATTTTTTGGCCTAGCTCTCGCATTCGATTTTCATCTTTCGGTGTATATAAATAAGAAAGCATAAGGATCTATAATACTTTCATATATGTATGTTTATACTTACTGGTTTACAATCCTACTAAAGCCACAGTATGACTGGCAAACATTAGCAGATTGATTGTTGGCCACCTGTAAGACTCACTAAGCCTTTTAGGATACAAGGAATAATAGCAAACTACATACTTTTGCGTCTCTTCTAGACTGTCTTTAAATCACTGCGTCTCTTCACAAAGTCAGTCTGCTTGCTCTGAAAATCTGGCATCTTCATTGATAATTGGCCACGGCTTACAGTCGCTATAGTGACCGAGTAGTGCAAACACAAAGTCTTTTTTGCTTGAAAACTTCGTGACAACACCTCTCTGAAATCCCCTAGCCACCCATTCATAGTACCTATTACTGTGCTCGCTCAGAAGGAATAAGTGATGAAGCCTGCGGACAACGGGGCCGTCTCTACTCAATAGAGTTCAGTTCAGAATCAGAATGGATTTCTTCGGACTCCGATGAGCACGCTCATTCTCCGAAGTGAACCCATCTTTCTGGATAATGCATGAAGTGATACCAACTTTTAATCATAATAAACAAATACTTTTCTAACTGCCTTAGTGAGAAGTAAAGGCATTCAGCTTTCTTAGTTCCCATAATGGCTATACCAGTACGTCTTGAAGGATTTTGGCTGGCTTATTGGCTAATTGGCAGACGTTGCTTTTTCTTAAGAGTGTTCTGATCCTCTTTTGACTAAGAAATAATGTAAGCTATGGTTTTCTCTCAATCTTCCCATGCATGTTTTTCTTCAATATGTTCGAGGGTGTTAATCCGTGACGTTCAATCCTAATCGTGTCGGAACGCTTTTCGCTAACGGCTATCTCCATCGATCAGTAGCTATTCAGCGATCCTATCGCATTCGCGGTGTTTTATAATGTGTTGGTGTCCCATGCATATCCAACAGCTTGACATAGATGTATCGATAACCAGAGCCGACAAACACTGATCAAAACACAATCGATCCCATGTCAAGTGTTTTTTTCAGGAATCAATAATGTTCCAATGAAAAAACGTGGAATTCACAATTGCCACATAGCCGGTTGTGGAAAGGTCTACAACAAAAGCAGTCATCTGAAGGCACATCTACGTTGGCATTCAGGAGAACGACCTCCGGTTAGTTTGTCAACCACTTCAGCTTTGGTTACATTCTGTTTTCTAGGCAATTAAGTATTGTTATTGGAGGCGAACCAGCCCGGTGCTTACTGACGCAATCAGAAGACCGTAATTAACCAAATACAGTAATCCAGCCATTAGGCAGTGAATCATAGCTAACGAGGGATGGATCATTTTCCGGAGTGATTCTGGGAGGAATCAAAAGCTGCTAGGGAACGGGGAAGAGGAGGAAAAACAAAAAGGGCAGATGTCTGTTCTGATCGAAGTTTGTATTGTCTGATGATAATTTTTGTTGAAGAAAGATGAAAACGTCAAATTTAAGGGACCTTCTATTCCTTCCTATGAACACTCCTTTAGTGGGAAGTTGGGCTACATAAAAAAAAGTTTGGTTGATAACGAAGAAGGAGTACATACGTGCTATATTAGACCTTTCCCAAAAAAAGAGTGGGCCATCTGGCCCAATGCAGCCATCGGAGCTCAGTTTCGTTTCAACTGAGAACTTACCAGTAGCTCAAACCGACTCCATGGTGGCCAGTTCAGAATGAAATAGGATGCAATAGAACGATAGTACTGTCATAAATGTTTATATTTATTCATTTATTTACGTATGCACTCATATACATAAGTAGCATTACATTGAATAATTTTATTGTTGAAAATTTCCTTTGTGGTGAGAATTTCGTCTCAGAATAGGCCCCTATTTTCAGAAAAGGCGGTCAGCTGAAAACACCACCACTCAACAATGAGTGGACGGGTGGCCAAAAGGACCTCTCACTTGGATTTTGAATATCAACTTAATCTGATCAGAGAACACGTTCAATTGGACGAATTTTTGAAGAACGAAGAAAAAAAANAAAAAAAACTAAGTATACGATAATGTGTTTGTGATTGTGCAATTGTGCGTGTGTATAAATGATGACAGATGTGTAAGTACTAGTTTCCTTCTAGGTTTCATTATTTTCAAATTTTTTTAGTAGGCCAATGCTAGCTTTTTTAAGCAGGTCGGCCAATATGGTTGGATTTGGGAGCGCTATGTGCGGTGCTGGGGAATGGTCTGTCCTCGTTGACCCGCTTAGAGGGTCTACGAAGTTGTTCTGCTAGTAACTAATGGGTCGGTAACATCAATCACTTCGACCACCCAGGTAATCGATCGAATCGCCTTGATGCTAGCCGACCCACCTGGGAAACGCGCAACGACACATCACGTAATCGCGAGAAAATTAACACCGTTCCACCATATTTCGCTTTCTTTTCCAATTAAGGCACATTAGGTCACGATCGAGTGGAAGCAATAACATAGGGAATCATTAAATAAATACAAAACTTTGTAAATGATCAAAAAGCTGGGCTCCTCGTCCAACTTGTCATCCTGATCTTGGACGTTTACAGTCCTTTTGGATTGAACGAGTATAGTAACAGGTCCTGCATAGTGCTCGATACGTGTCCTCACCACCGATCACTTCAACCTGAAGAACAAGGTAGATCGGTGATTCAAACGGACACGGTAGAAAGCCTTTATAGTGTGAATATCAATTTTCTTGAGGATTCCACGGTTTCTACAGTGGACTTTTCGGAATTACGGTTGAAAACTTATTGTGTAGCAACTGATGATAGAATAAAATCACTTGTATCTTGTATCCCATATCTCAGCTCTCAATTCTTTTGAAAATTTTCAGAAAACCAGCTCAGAATACTAGCTCAAACAGCATAGCATATCGATAAAATTTTTGTGGGCATAATCAAGAGCCAGGGCTATTCTGGGATCCGTAGGGAACATAACAGATACCACAAAAAGTGTAGATTTTACAACTTATTCTTTTGGTAGGCTGCAAAAGAATTAGGCCGTGGGATCTTGTTTCTAGCGTGGATTCCACTGAACAAAAAAAAGATCCAGTGATCAACTAGGGTAAGACAACTGCTCTGATTTGACCTTTAATTCAACAACTTCGCCTAGTAATGGGGCAATTTTTTGAGAAAGAACTCAGTAGTAATCGCAGCGACATTCAGTTCGGTGTGGATCTCTTTGACCGAAACCATTGCCGAGACCATGGCAGGAACAGGAAATCACGCCGTAAGAGGCTTTGATCAGTGACGGGCTAATTCGCTCATACGGTCTCATATTCTTGTCCACGAACGTCAGCTACAAAAGAATCCCTTCAGAGATTGTTCGAGCGTTTGCCAAGTCTGTTGCTGGATCCCGAAACCAGCATGGCAGGTTCGTAAACGAGCCAAGAGGGACAGTATTTCATCTGCTTCATCAATGGATCCCGTCGTAATGAAGGCTCATTGTGCGACGTTGTACTAGTTTCCCAAAAAGAACTTTTCCAATGCGCTCCATCCCTTCCAGTTCCAATTCCTGCAATGCAAAGCCTCATTTTATAAATGTACATTGTATCTGAATGTACAGTTATGAAGTGATTGTACCTTTTGGTAGGCTCTTTGTAACCTTCGCGTAAGAAGCAACTTAATCCTTAAATAGGCATTCACGCATTCAAAAGGAGACATTCATAGCGCTTTCTACGATGTCAGCTAGAACTTCACGCCTGAGCGTAGCCAGGTTTTGACAAATTATAATAACAAGCCAAAGCCCTGAAAAACAATCCAAAAAACAATTGAACTAGCAATAAATAGTATTTCAGTCGAATGCATGATTACCCAGACCCATAAGTGTGTATGACCATAGGCTCACCAATGTCGATAAGGATTCTGCTGATAAATGATTAATCAGGAGATTTCTGTCGGAATAAGGGCAGATGAAATACCGCTTCGCGCTAACCCATGTACGGCATGTACGGTAAGGGGATCAATTTTCAAATCAGCACCTAGAAACTAGGCCTACTGATTGTCTCAAACCTCTCTGAAGAGAAAACGTTTTGAATTGTAAATAGACATGCTCCCACAAGCTACAGTATGTATATGCCGTATATGTATCCATTCAAGCAGTACTGAGATCTGCAACAGAACCGAATGCTTGGACACGTCCGAAAAGACGGTTTCCAGCGACCACGTTACTCAATGGATTTTTACGAATACATGTTCGGAGAAAGTTGACAAATAGAAGGAAATCTGTTCTAATTCTGTTTTGTTCAGAAATGAAGGGAGTTTGCCATATGAAAGTTGCTATAAGAATCTCAGGATTGTCTTCATCTAGTGCAATCCTCTCCAGCTTCACGCTCGTACTCTGGCTGCCATAAAAATTCCAGTTCGATCATTTTTCATAAGATTTTTTCATCACTGGATGTTTAAAGCGTGCTAATATTTTCATCATTTTGGCTTCATCAACAGGGCTTGTACTAAACTTAAGTTTAAAAGGACCATGTGGAGTCAAGATAGGAACCATCTGTGAATGAAGAGCAAATTGAAATTACTAGCGAATTTCCTCTGGTTCTCCAACAAAAAGGTCTCGTTTTTCATCACCATCATATATGTAGCCCTTCGCGATATAGTAACTTTCTAACAAAACAAAGACAAACCGCCCTCTCGTTGGTGCATCTGAATGTGAACGGAGCGTCGTCACCACATTCCATGCAAACTGCTGACAGCTTTTTGATTTCATCACTGAACGAAATCAACTGCGACACTTCGGCGAATGGCTGAAATTGACAACCTCAACTGTGGCCCATGAATTGGCGAATATGTATCTGATGCGGATACAGTACACCACCGACAGCCCTAACGAGTGCCAAAACTAACCTTCCTCAGAAAATCACCGTCAAGTGCAGCAACCAACACCATTTTTCCCTCGCATGCCAACTGTTCGCAAGTGAACGACAGGTCGTCAAACTGAATAGGGAATGTCGTGGTTAGGGACTTGGAATACATTACGAAAATACTGCAAGAAATAAGGATAAGCACGTAGACCGATGAAGACGTCATTCATTTACATGGAGAGGTGATGGGGAAATTTTCCTTATCAATTATTCGATTTTGGGGAATTTAAGCATGTGCTTGGCTTACAGGATCTATCCACAGGAGCTAGCTATGC